AAGAGGAATTCAATAGTTCACAAAAGCACCGGATTCAGGAAATGATGTAATGTTGCACATTATTAGCAATATTATTGGTTTGTTTTTCAGCAGTGTAATCCCTCATGATGACTCCTGTCGATAAATAAATAGTGTTTTGTCGTTAGGAATAATGATTAAATAATAATAATGTCACCATGAAGTATATGTATACATTTATGAAGCGTGGCAGTGCGTGCAATGCTGAAAATGTGCTAGTCAGAAAAAACCATAATGTTCAAGGACACAGCTGATTGACTGATTCTTGCTCCCCAGTGTCAGGCAGTAAACAAGAGCTTCGCTGGAATCCAAACAAAAAGGAAGGCCCTATACAGACAGCCAAATAAGGGACAGAGCATGCCAAACCAATCTTTGGGCTGCAATTCAACAGCCAATGCCAAATCCTGTTGATGTTAAGACAGTGCACCTGCAGGGAATTAACATTACACACATGCATTGCACACACAAAAAGTAGCTCTAATTTTCCACAATTCCTAGCAAATGTAATTCATATTTTAACTAAATGACTGTATGTTATGTATGACGTATATTACATATTTTCTAAAGGCTGTGTGCAGTATTAAGCCTCAGACAGACGTGTACATCTCCAGCACACATTCAAAGCAAAGCTGTTTCTATTTTCTGTTCTCTGTGCCAGAGACCCCTCCTTTGATCCTCAAAGCAAAAGGGTCAGCAAACAAATGCAGGATGATGCCTATGATGCTCTGAACTGACCAGCACTCAACAAATCTGAAGAGGTATAGCCAGCAGTTACTGATCAATGTTAGTATAACTCTAGGAAGTAGAAATATAAAATGTAGAATGTAAATTGGCCAAAAACTGGATCAAGATAAAAAAAAATTAAAATAAAATCATCCATACCCGTCACCCTTTTGATAAGTTCCCATTGAATCGAAAAAACAACAAAAACATTATTATGCACAAGCACTCTTAGAAGAAATGGTTTTATATCTTACCTGGATTCTGTTAGGCGCTTCATATATTGATTGGTTCTCTTCTCATCATGTTATAAAAGAAATAGAGGGTCAATAAGTCAAAGTTTAAATGATTCAGCTGGTCACAATGTGTTGAATTATCAACTAACCGATGCAGCCGGACGTTGCAGCATGAATAGGGAGGTCTAAAGGTAGTCAGTTGCTCATTTATTGTTCAGTCTCTGGCTATACAGTAAATCACTGCATAACTGGTCTGTGGAAGGTTAGACAACATGCAGGAGCAAGGCCAAGAGTCTGCCTGTACGTTCCTTTCTCTTTTTTTCTCTTTATCTCAGCAAAAACAGCACTGAATAGATATCTTCTATTTGCTAAAGCTGTTTAAAGATTCATTTTTAGTAAGCGTTAGATGACAGGAAAGATAATCTAAATGTTAAAATGGAGAAAATAAGCATCCACTAGAAAATAATACTGACTGATACTGAAAAAAAAAAGTAATATTGTGATGGTACATAATCGATATGGTACATATAAAGCATCCCTAGAATTTTTCAAGGTGTTTACATAAAATCAGAGCTTGAGTGAACCCTCTACAGGTCACAATATATCAAAAAGAATCTACATAACACTTGGTTAGTGTCAGTGATACAGTGTGAGTGAATGGCATTTAAAGGAGTAGTTCACTTTTTAAAAAAAACTTTTGCTGATAATTATGTCATCCAAAATATCCATGTCATTCTTTGTTCAGTCGAAAAGAATTAAGGTTTTTGATGAAAACATTCCAGGATTTTTTCTCCATATAATGGACTTTCAATGGGAACCAAACGGTTCAAGGTCCAAAAGACAGTTTCAGTACAAACTGCAAACAGTTAAAATGGCTTTAAACGATTCCAGATGATGAATAAGGGTCTTATCAAGCGAAACGATCGCTCATTTAAAAAAAAAAAAAAAAAAAAAAAAAAAAAAGTTTAAGTTTTAAGCTCAAATGGTCACCTTGCTTTGTTCTGTGACACACGTTCATGACTCTCCTGTTCGAACTCGTTTATCAAAATGAACAAATCTTTTCTCGAGTCATTTGGTTGATTCAACGAACGAAATGACTCGGAAAAAGATTTGTTCATTTTGATAAACAAGTTCGAACAGGAGAATCACAAAGTGCATCACAGAACAGACCAAGGCGACCATTTGAGCTTATAAAACGTAAACTTTATTATTTTTTTAAATGAGCTATCGTTTCGTTTGATAAGACCCTTATTCATCGTCTTGAATCGTTTAAAGCCCTTTAAACATTTTGCACTAAAACTGTCTTTTGGACCTTGAACCGTTTGGTTCCCATTGAAGTGCATTATATGGAGAAAAATGCTGGAATGTTTTCATCAAAAAAACTTAATTTCTTTTTGACTGAAGAAAGAAAGACATGGACATCTTGCATGACATTGAGGTGAGTAGATTATCAGCAAAAAAAAAAATTAAAAGTGAACTACTCCTTTAATACATACATTATGTAAACATTGTAAATAATGACAGTGTAATCAAAAATCCCAGTTATATATAATCAGCCACTGAGAATTTAAAACTCATTGGGAAGAGTCATTGATGAATATCTTCTCAGCAAATAGTGACTCATGACTATTTTAGCTATTTTTACTTCCAAAACCTGCACATTTAACAGTATTTGTAAAGTATATTTTGGAGGAAAATTACATGTAATGTCTCATTAGATGTAGGCTATTACAGTTTTTCACCATATACAGAGTAAAGGAACTTACCGTTAACCAATTAATAGGTTTTTAATGTAGCATTTTTAGTCTTTCATTGTTAAAATTACAATATTTTACAAGTCCAACACAAAATCTGAATGAAAAACATGCTTTATTTTAGTCAGAGTATGAGTCATGGAGGCCATTTCATAGGCTTCCTGCAACGCAGAGTGGTGACTCACATATTAGCGCCCTTGTTTGTTGCACTCTTCAGTCAGTATCTCTCCAGCTTACTCATTGTTTTGTTAAATGTGTATCAGTATAAGTGCTGAAATAATGTCTGTAGTGGCTGTGATTGAAAGCGATAGTTCACCCAAAAATGAAAATTCTGTCATCATTTGTTTTTGTTTCAAACCTGTATGATTTTCTTTCTGCTGTTGACCACAAAATAAGATATCTTAAGGAATGTTGGTAACCAGATTAAGTCACAGTTGAAGGCACATTGACTTTTCATAGTATTTTTTTCCAACTATGGAAGTCAATGGGTGCTGTCTGCACAGAAGAGAAGAAATTATTGAATAAAGTCATTATTATTGCACTCAATAATAATTGTCGCTTCATAACATTAAGGTTGAACCACCATTGTAACAATGTCTTTACTATTTTTCTGGACCTTAAAAATAGCAATGACATTGCTGTCTATGGCTCAGAAACCTCTCGGATTTCATCAAAAATAGCTTAATTTTGTGTTTAGAAGATGAACAAAAGTCTGACGGGTTTGAAATGTCTTGAGGGTGAGTAATTAATGACATTTTTAAATGGGTGAACTGTACTAAGTCTTTTGGCCATAACCCTTTTCATTCAGATTTGCCAATTAACTTGGCAATATTGTAATTTTAGCGGCAAAAGTAAAAATGCTCTAATAAAAACCATTCAATTGGTTAACGGTGAGTTCCCTTATTGTATATGGTGGAAAACTAATAGCCTATACATCTAATGAGACATTTTATATAATTTTTTCTTAAATATTTGACTAATACTGTTAAATGTACAAAATTTATAATATAGTGGTGCAGGGATGACATCAAAACCGTAAGACTAACTCACCACCACTGCTTCCCTCGAGATTAGTAAAATAAAGCCTGTAGTAATATGAAGATAAACTTGACGATACTTAAGACGTTTTGTTCTACAACATAAAATGCACACATTCTTATCTACTTGTTGGAAACATGTGATTTTTAAATAAATAAAAAATACTCTTTCAATATGGGTGTGTAAATTATGTTGTAAAGCAAAACATTTAAGGTATTGTCAAGTTTTTCTTTACCACAAACCTTATTTTACTACTATAAATTGAATGCCACAAATCTTGAGGGAACCAGTGGCAAATTAGTCTTCTGGAATTTGACATCATCGCTGCCCCACTTAACATTAAGGTTTTATGTAACATCTCATATGTTAAAATGAATGCTTATTGCATTATTTTAGTGTTGTGTTACCATGATGTTGTTTTGTATTTTTATGACACCTTCTATATTTTAGTATTTCTACAGTTTAGTATTTTTAGTGTTTGGCATAGTAATGGATAAGATAATGTTGATATGTTTGGTTTTGAAAAAATAGATCTGCTACACTTCTGTTATTGCTGTGCTGCAGAGCAATACAAGTAAGACAAGCTGCTGTTGTACAATATAGAATACATGAATTACCCGTAGCAGATCTATGCAGGTGGAGCTGGGGAAGGTGGAGGGTTTCTGAAAGCACGCTACAACAGCTACAGCAAATGCTGACCATATTTGAAGGTTAAGCAGCAAGCTCATTGGCTACTGATACAGAAGGAACCAATCAGCTGTGCCCTATAGAGAATGATGTGATTGCATTAATCAGCCTGCACCATGATGATAGAACATTGTATTTACTTCAGCTTGCGTAAAACCACTTGTGATTAACTTTCTCTTTACCATCTGTTTTAAAAATGGTTGTCAGTGTTTAACCAATAATTTGGTTAATTAACACTTAGTTAATCAAATATACAAAAATACTGTAAATTTAAGTCTGTAAAACTTAAAATATTGCTACTACATTTTCTAAATTTAACAAAAAAAAATTTTTACTGTAAATTTTCCTAAAAAAAAATCTTCAAATGTAAGATTAATGTACAGATTTGGACTGGGAGTGACAGACCATTGAACACGTCCATTACACCCGAGACTGACCACAATTTTTCATTAAAAACAGTATTTTAAGGCAAATCTGGTGTACTTTCATTTTCATACAATTTTACTGAATAACAGATCTCTCTGAATTCTTTTAAAAAAAACACAAATTCAGGGTTTCCGTAAATAATTTTATTTGATTCATCTTTGACAGCCAAGAATGACAAGATCACAGTTTCTCTACATTGCTAAAACCCGAGTGCTAATGTACAAAAATAAAAACTAAAGAAAGAAAATACTGGGTGCTGCTCACCCTCTAATATTGAAATACTTTTCTATGAAACTGTATTTGAAAAATCTTTCAAAATGAGCTTTATAAAACTGTTACCTTCTGAGAGGTAAAATTGAACAAACACAGACACAAACAGTCTGCTGGGTCAAGAAAGGGCCGATCATAGATTGTAACCCTTACACATCCTCAACCTTGGACCGATCTACTCTGACAGAATAGTGAAAAGCATGAACATTATGAGAAGAAACTACTTTGTGTAGATGAACCCAAGACATGATGCATTTTTAACTCCCATAACTTTCAGTTCAAGTGGACTACACTCATGACACGGAAGTATAACAATAAATACAAGGAAAACAGAATAGAAGCTTTTCATTGCATTAGTAGTGCTTATTTGGCTAAATAAAATGGAATGCATGGACAGTTTCATTCAAAAGAGGTAAAATACAATAAAGACAATAAATAATTCAAATAAATAGTGTCCTCTGTTGCTTGTCAAGTTTGGACCTGAGAGGTAAAGACAGAAGTGACACAGCGCAAGTACATGACAATAAACGGGCTCTGTTTGCCCTAGTTTAACACTCCAGAAGATACATTTTGAAATGATCCTGTGTTACAAAGGACTATTTTATTTGCAGTTGGTTGCTTCACTGAAAATCCAATGAACTTTGGAGATGGACAGTCGTGTATAGGGAAAGAAAATGTCTACATCTCAATTTAATGGTACTACAGTGTTACAAATCAAGGCAATGTCTTATACGATACTTTATGGCCCATTTAACACCTGCTTTGTTTTTCAGTAAGGCAATATTTCCGCTAAGAGTCCCACCCAATGTTTGACTCAAAGGATTTGGGTTGTGCTTTTGCGATACTCTCAGGTGAATGGTTTAAATCACTCGCATGACACTTTTTGTAAGGGGCCGAGTGTACTCGCCAATGCGATTATGCTTAAATCATGCACGAGTGGACTATAATGTTACAAAACAAACACCTCAAAAGACTTTCACTCTCAAAAGTTCATTTAAATGCTACAACTGGCCGTAGACTCACTCGTAGGCACAATTAAAGGCTCTTCTAGAAGGACCTAGTCACTCTTTGTAGGTATGTGACGTGTCTCAAAGCATACAGATCCCTCAGGTGTGCTATTATGGAAGAAAATAATTAAGGCTAATTTGATGAACAGTGGATTATCGGCAGGTGAATCAAGCCATGTCAAACAGTGAGGAGATACAACAGCAAACCAAGCAGTGTAAATTTGATAAGGTAAAGGAATGACCTACAATCATTTTAACATTTTAATCTCAAGAGTTCTCTCAGAGCAGGCACACTGTTTTTCATTCAGTTAAACACATCTTAAAGCTAAAATATATATTCTGGTAAAACACCAACATGGGATAAAAACATTTGGGATCTTTTGGCTTTAAGGGGAAATTTAGATGAATAAACAGAACACCCCGTCCTTTACCAATGCAAGCCAAGAAAATCAAATTCTGTTCTTTTTCCGTGTCCTAACCAGGTGCGACGAGATGAAACACTAAATTTTGCTGATAGCATGGTATCTTTTTCTGTGCCAGTTGCCTAGTGCACACTCAAAATTCACTTGACTGAAGTACTGGTCAAGTATAATCATCGTAAACATCAACCGTGGATGAGGAGAAACTGGTTGTGGAAGTTAGAATGAAGAGTGAAAGAGCAATACTGTTCCAGGAACTGTTCTGATTGGCTGAGTTTTGTGATTGATTGTGTTGCATCACGCCCCATTTTTAGTTCTGCCAAAAATAAAAATTCTGTCATCGTTTACTCCAACCACTAAAGAGTTGGTTTTCTTTCTTCTGCGCTCAACGAATTCAAGTGAAATGTTTTACTGAATTTCTGTCCATATTGTGAAATTAAATGGGATCCAAAGCTTTCAACGAGTTTCTATGAGCTTGGCACAACATGAGGGCGAGTTAAATGATGAAAGAATTTTCAATTTTAGGTGAACTATCCCTTCAACGATAGACAAATTGCTTGGCATTGAAATCTTAATGTGTCGCACCATGTTAGGACAAGTCCAGGGGGTTTAAAAATAAAAATTAAATGAAACGCTTGCAAGATCTTAGGTACAGGAAGAGAATTCAAAGCTAAATCTTGTAGGTTTTAAAGAGTATTACGCACTATAAATATTAAATCATTGTAACGACAAGGATCTCAGAAAGTGCTGACAGCCTGAATCCCACTCTATGTACCTAGAATTTCCTAACTACATTTTTTTTCTTAATAGTTATATAGACAAACCAGAGGATTGACAAAGTGTCAGTTTGAGGCAACAAGTAGTAAACAACTCTGAGAGGATTGTAAAACATTGACACAATCTTTCAAATACTATGCTCAGTTCACACGGAAGCTGTTCCTCGGGGGTTACAAATGTATACTGTACAAAGTATAAAACTTCTGTCAGACCAACTTAACCCTAAATAAGACCTTTCCTTGTTTTTTTTCCATGCAGGAGGTGTACACAACTTATCGTGCTATCCGTACTGTGCATGCTTTCAGTACCATGTGTCATTGGATTTAATATTACTCTTCCAAGCAGTTGGGAGTTGGGTACCGAATGCTAACTTACCGATCGATTCTAATCAAGGTACTCGCTGTAAATTAGGACTAAGGCAACAATGTTCCATATTACAGAACAGGAATCATGCAGATTAAAATGCTCATGACCACTGCTGTAGACGCAAAACTGCACCATCAGGCCATGTACAGTAGTGTCAGCTACAATTTCAGGGAATCAGCAGTGGAGGCCTGACATACACTCATCTAGAACGACTTTTCAGGAAGATGCAAATGAAACGGGTGCTAGACTTAAACACATGCTCGAGTTGATGAATACAACTATCCAAATAACAAACTGTCACGAATAGAATGCAAAACTACACTTTGTATTAATTCTGTTCGGACACATAAACATACTGTATTCTAACTGAGGTCTCGAATTTGGTCTCTCTCTTGTTATTAGAAGATGCCTTTAAATATAGCAGCGTTTAATGACAAAGTGCAGAACCAATTATTGGGTTTTGTCATTCCTTTTTCCTAATCTACAATTGCACTTACCATCACTTAGTAGCTAATAATACGCCAATACAGACGTTTAATACACACTGGAGCGGAGGATTTTTGGGTACGCTACAATAAAATCTCTGGTAAAGCGAAGGGCTACCTCTAAATTGGTTAAGTGCTTTTCAATATTGGCAATAAATAATCAAAGGCCTCTAATTATCAATACAAGCTCAAATAAATTCACACTGTTGTGTTTCTCTCTGGTAAAATTGATCCTGAATAGTCCTAACTGTGCTAATACAGTACCAGTGAGTCTTTCCTCTCCAATATGGGGATTCGTTAATTGGAAACTTTACGTTAACTGTAACGCATACTTAATTAGGCAAGCGCTAACTGCCATCTAACAAACTCACTTAATTAAGTAAGAATGTTCACTTTCTATAACTCTATAACTCTCTCTCTTCGTCTTTAATACTTTTTATTTATTCGCCTTTTTACATGCTCCACCCTCTCTGTTCTGCAGGTACTTATCTAGCTCCGCCTCTCGCTTCACGGCTTCTGGGTTGACTTTGGGGGCACCAGGAAAACATACCAGCACCACACTCATGTTGTCTCGACTTCCCTGTTGATAAACAAATAATCACAGAAGGAACGTTTAAGTTAGATCAATGACTCATACACAGAAGTATACACATTGCATATATATAAAGTAGGGCTTGACATCAACTTTTTTTTGCTTATCAGCCATTGTGGCTAGTGGTTTTCTAGTTACTAGCCACTCACCATTTTCACTGGCCACATTGATTGACATTGATACCATGTGGGAAAACTCTCTATCTTTAGGGCTGGATATCATTCAAAAATTTATGTCCGATACCTTGACTTCGGTATCGGTTCCTGAATGATACTTTTTTGTGTGTATCTGACTATTTAAGTGCATTATAAGCTGCAGAAAACAAGTAAATTTAGCTTTATGTGAGGGGTAGCGGATTTGTGAGTCAATGACCCATTAGCATCCAACTCACAATGTTTATAACTGACCTCACCTTGTACAAACAGGTGTCCACAATCTCATTACACACTCTCTCCAGGTCGTCGGTCACTTCCAAGCGTGAGCGCACAAAATCACACAGTTCTTCGTTGGCCATGACGTCCCATATCCCATCGCAGGCCAGCACCACAAATTCATCGTCGGCCTCAGAGCGTTCGATCTCATACACTTCTGGCTCCGGGGACACCAGCTGCTCAGTGGGGCCTTTTCCATGCACGCACTTATAGTCGAAGTCACCGAGAGCGCGGGAGACGGCGAGAGAGCCGTTGACCCTCTGGATCATAACAGAACCACCTGCGTTCTGGATTCTCTCCTTTTCCAGAGGGTTACTTGGCTTGTGGTCCTGGGTGAAGAAGTGAACGCGACCCTTGCGGCTCAGTAAGGCCCTGGAGTCACCACAGTTGATGAAGTAGAAATGATGAGGGGAAATCATCACACCCACCGCCGTGGAGCCACTGCGGTCCGCCCCGTGCTTGCGTTCGGACATGGCCCGCATGTGCTCGTCGATTTGCAGGAAGCCTGTACGGATTCCACACTTCACACTCTCCACAGAGGGCCCGGAACCAACTAACTCCGCACCTCCTGAGCACCCTCCCCTGAAGTCTGGGTTGCTGGTAATATGTTCCAGCAGATGCTCACAGCAGTAACGGGCAACCTGAGAGCCTGCGTGCCCATCGTAAACGGCAAAAAAGGACCAAAGGCCGAGGCCATAAGGCAGCCCCATCACAGCCGTGTGTGCGTCCTCCATCTCCACACGCCATCCCTGCATACTGCTGAGTCCATAGCGGAGGCTGTTTCCCTCCCCGTGAGCATTGTGCTTCTCCATCTTTGGCTTGTCTAAGAACGCACCCATTCTTCTTATTTTGCTCTACCACAAACAGAACCAGAAAACAAAGTGAGTAAAGGTGCTTCATTATGACATAAGTGACTCTCGTTTATACAACATATTCAAGCATGCGATGGATATGACATGACCATTTACAGTATATGATAACAAGCCACAGGTGCAGCAAGCTTCCAGTAGCATGTGAACTGTTTAGGTAAATGTTTATCTTCCCATCAAGGCAGTAAACTTATTTGTCTCCAAACCTGCTGTTGTTTACATTTAAGCTTCCTTTTAAAATCTTTTCAGACGCCAACGCAGCAAAATAGACGAACCTGTGTATAATGTAAAACAACTGTGATGCGTTTACTGATGAAGCCCCTAACGTTACGTTACCCTTATCAGAGCATGTGCAAAATTCTGCACGCCAGGATAGCATTAAGAGGCTAACTCCAGCATTTGTATGTACGTCAGAGTGACACAATATCACTTACCCAGTTTCTTCGTAGTTTTGCTGGATGAAGAAACTCCCGAGGCACAAAAGCCGCGGATAAGAGCCTTATTGTCACTATTTTGGGCCGGATAGCAAACACCAGCGCTGCGCTCACAGCCACAACACACATCAATCGATGGCTAACCAATTAGCCAGTAAACTAACGTCAAAACGGCCAAAGATTGATTCCGAAAATAATAATTCAAACAAATTATAACCATAAGAAAATCGTCACATGAGCCTGTTAAGGCAATCCGCAGCTGGGCGGTAGGGCATTTCTGGCTCCGGTGTTTTTGTTTTCCCGAGGGGGGGCTACAGGAGCCTCTCTCGTTCAGAACGTCCTCTCTCTCTCTCTCTCTCTCTCCGCGCGGATGGGTTTGTCTGGAACCCGGATGCTACAGTGGACAGTGCGTGTCCCCTTCGCTATTACATCATCACTGCCACGCAATCGAGGGCTGGAAATAGAGATTGAGAGAACGTTATAAGCGAAACTCCTGCCGTTCATTTAACTGCTTTGGATTTTTGCTGCAGAGGCTTATATAGCCTTTAGCCTATATGTTTACAAAATAACACATTGTCACCATAGGGCCGTTAACCAATAGAAATTATGACATTTATAAATAAATTTCAACATTTTAACACTAAAAATATAAATGTATTGTGAAAAAATAGGTTTTATGGAATTGTGGGAATGTAAACTCAAATTAGTTCATTTGACCATTTCAACTGATCAGCCAGTCAAGCTAACATACAGTATGCTTACACAATTAAGAAAAACAGACTGTCAAAGTTTGACACAATCAATGTGATAAATCATCAATGGTTATCCCCCTTTTAACAAGAACATTTGAACATTGAAGTTAATACAACGAAATCAACAGAAGCTCAAAATATTACATTATTTGAACCACATAAATTATCTAAATTGATTTGACAAAAGACAACAATTTTATAAATCATTACAATATATATATACTGTGTACAAACAGCTCTCATTATGCTGCGCTTGATATTGCAAACTGGTATCCGTTATATTATTTTTATGTTATATAATTTATTATCGTATTCATAAACTCACTTAAATCAGTTTTGTGTTTATTTTACTTAAATTGTATAAATCTGAGAAGTCTCTAATTACAGCCTTCTATAGCCTTCTAAAAGCCCCTGGATTGTGCATGTTTTAGCTGCAACACAAATAGCACAAGTATGTGAGTGGCCTCTTTTTTAGCCGTTAAACATTGTGCTTTTATTGTATTCTTAGTGATGTGTACAGTGTGTAGGCTATGTAGGCTACAATGTTTTGAACAGAAATGATATTGCACTTTGGCTATATTCAGGACAGAGGCATCAGTTAATAGAGCTACAATAGAATATCCACATTTAGTTAACTGCAATCAATCTGTTAATGGCATGCCCAAGAGAAATAGAAAAGGGAATGATTTGGGGAATGTTAACATGTTACTATGATCAGAAGTGTTGTGATGCTTTGGTATCATGGTATCCAAGACTGGAGCCATTGTAATGCTAATGATTGAGAATTTATTTAAATGTTGAATTTAGATTCCCCATACTATAGTATATAGAAGTTTATTAGTGTGTTTTTTTTTAACTAAGGTAAATGCCACAAACCTGTCCTGATCTTTCAATTTCAAGTTAAATTGAAACCATCACCTTGTGTTTGTAAGTTTTCATCTCAGTACGAGAAGGCCATGTCTTTCCTGTTCTTGTGTCTCACCGGGTGAAGACTCATGCTGGGCATGTTTGAACACCTAGTACTTTATTACTGAGACCATTTGTTTTGGGGTTCCTGTCCCAAGGAAGCTCTGCCCATGTCTCTCATGTACATGCTCTGTTTCAGAGTGTCTCCACCTCTATGTAACCCCTCCCCCTTAAAAAGGTATATCAGCTGCAATGTAAGGTTGCCTTTAGACTTGACCTGATGAAGACTGCATCTAACAACAGCTTGTGTTTCTCAGTGAAGAATTTTACTGAAGATACAACCAAGTCTGGTCTTCGCTTCTGAGTTCCTACACTCTAGAAGAAAAAGTTTACAACAGGGTAAATAATTCATACAGGCCTCAAAATCCAAATTAAAAGCTTCTTACATTGCTGTCTGCAGGGTGATTTAAGTGTGTTCCTCATAATGCGATGTGCACTTAGTAGCTTCCTGCTCCAAATGCATTAGACCTGAATGAGGGAACCTTCAGCTTGGCATAGTGATTTTGAATTGTGCTTTTTTAATACATATCAAAACATGTCCCTAAAGCTATTGCCAGGCTTTTCCTGCACTGCAGTGTGAACTGTTATGCTGACATTTTCAGACTGTAGATAGTACAATGAAGCAATTGTTTTGCCTCAAGACCCATATTTTACATTGAATATCAAGTGGTCGACCCAACACAGTACCAAAATTGTTTACCATACAAAAATGACACAAACCGCACACGAAATCAAACAGCCCCTGACGGCTGAACAGGGAAAAATGACAAATTGGTTTCTTAACAGCACTGCATTTTTTTAATGTTTCATGCTCTTCAATAATTCACTGCACAAAAATATTTTTGTTGCTATCTTAATTAGCTGCATTTTATCAGAACAGACCTGCTGCAAAACATTTTTGGTTGTGACCTGCTATAAAATCCACCGGAATAAACTACAAAAATGCCACTCTTCTTGATTCTCTGACCATTTGAAACATGCCAGATATGAAACAAGTATGAAGGTTATGTACAGAATGGCAGTGTGTTGGTTTGAATAGAGTCATGAATGACAGAGGAAAGGATGGATGAACACCAACTACTGAAAAGTCAGACTGTCTGCCAAATCGCCAACCCCAGCTGAGGTATCCAGAGCAAATTAAGTGCCACAACAATGTTGCCCTATTTCCAAATGCAAGACAATGTTTGGACTGTGTTGTCTTAAACAGTAACAACAACAGCTGCCATGTAAGTGGTGATGTGTGAGGCAAACAAAGTGAGTCACAGTTTACTGTGCCATCACTCTTTAAAAAACACCATTCTGTCAGAGGATATCATACAAACAGGGAAGTACCTGAAGTAGCTGGATAGTTTGCTGGAGTAATATACCAGGGACTTTTTAGATCTGCAGTGCCTTTTACACTACTAGGACCATTCGCTCTGTGGTTTTTACCATGCTGGCCTCAGCGAACGGTCCTAGTGAGAATTTCACCACCCATGTGCGGTGGGTGTTAGTTAATAATGGATTGAAGTTCACGATAGGCCCTGAGGAGGACATCACCAGCCGCACTCCCGACTCAGATTCCAGCCCTACACCTGTGTGGACATGATGCCTGAGCCTACCGGAGACGGAGAGCCAATGCCAGCCGTAATGGAAAAGCTGATGCAAGAAGGAGCAGATGAGAGAACCATCGTTCCGGAGCCTGGATCTCACGAGACATCTGACCACAACATCATTGTGGAGTACGAGGAGATGGACAGTAGCGTCCATCCTCCCATCACAGAGTGTGAATCAATGCTGGACTCTGTCAACTGTTTGATGAACCTCTACTCCCACTGATTCAGCTCAGGCCTGAATCTCCTGTTTCTCCAGTGTTCCTGCCCAGCATCCCTCTCCTGTTCAACATTCAACCAGTTCATAATTCATCGCTGTCCTCCATCAGCCCCTCGAGTCCTCCTCTGTTTATTTCGTGCTATAGATACAAACTTTCATGAGATCGGGCTCATAGTTTGCATAGTAATTACAGTTGTTACGTTCCTGTGTATATTGCGTGAATGAGGGTTGCACTGAAAACATGCACTGAACCTGCTTTATGCGATAATGACCAGTGGGGCTCGACAGCCTTAGTCAAACAGGTTTGTCTGAGAGAGTGTGAGATTGTGGGTACACTCTTAGAAGAAAAGGTTCTAAAGCGCTATGTATTTGGAACCCCTAAAATGCAATGGATGAAAAATCACAAAATTCAAGATATGGGGTTAAAAAATGTAATTAATCAATATCACACAAAGAGTGCCATTTCAGTTTTTATCCTTCAAAAATCAGCATGATTAAAATGGGATATTAAGTTACTATAACAGTTTGATAAACAATAATTTAATTACAACTGCAAAATGTTGCAGAATAATGTAATATATAAATGAATAATAGCCTATAAAGAACCTTTGTGCCAAAAGGGTTCTTTCTTGTCATTATCATCATTTTTTTACATAAAAGGTCCTTTGCAGTTGAGTAAAAAACCCTATGCTACAGAACCCTTTTTTCTAAGAGTGCAGCAGGAGGGATGTAGAGGTCAGCTGGGCTGAGTTGAGTGGGGGACGGAGGGGGGTGACTCTGGGACGCCAAAGTCACCGTCGAGTCCTCTTGAGGTGTCGTGGGCTAGTCGACGAAACACTGAGGATGGAAGGTGCCCACTTGAAGACCCAGATGTCCCCTACTCGGCTCAATCCAGACGGTTGTCGTGCTGGTCCACTGGGTAGACCACACTGTAGTTGCAGCCGTCGTGTGTTCTGACGCGCCGAGTACACTGCAGCAGTTAACGCCAGACAGAAGGAGAGTCACATCACCATATGGAAAGAACAAAGAAGTGTAAATGGATGGAGAAGCATAGGTTACTGTAAAGCTACGTCTTAGTTTGTGCTTATCTTAGCGAAAGCCAAGTACAAATCAGCATGAAGTTTTAACATCTGCTCTCGTATAATGGACATCTTTAGGTGACAGCTTGTACAGCTTATTTTGCGATAATGATCTGAAAAGTACATTATTCCGCTTATATAATAAATATATGGACATTAAATATTAATTTGTTTTGGAATTACTTTATCATTTTACTGATTCCACTAAGAAAAATAGTCTAGCCTATTACAATGAACAAAACATCAAACAGAGAACAAAAAATAAGAACGTTTTGCTATGCTAATGTTAAATGTTATTATAGGCTAACTATAATTCAGAATGTTATATTAATGTTAATTCTAAATGTTTTAAAAACCTCTTTTCTTGATTATGTAAACATTTCATTTGATCATTTTGCAAACATTTAGGGGTACTTTTAAATGTTCTTTGAACAAACACAATTAAAAATTGTTAGTTGCATGATGTCAGGTACATGCTACTGTTGAGTGACCTATGTTATTAAAGACCAGATAACGTTGAACAAACATTATATTATGTTAGAAGAATGTTAGCTGTGTTAGCTGGGCCGCAACAAGACGAACACTGCCATAGGCCTACTGTAGTATTAATTCTGTGTGGTAATTTGCTGTGCAATCAATAACATGATACACAATTTCTACAAACTTGATCTCTGTCTTGTGCTTCCAAGCTTCCATTCAGATCATGAAAACTGCACCTGATGGGCTGTTGCCATGTTCTTTGCCAAGCAGTAAT